TCAGTCTCCAATAATACAATTTGAAGCGATGCATATTTTTATCCATTATTTTAAAAATATTTTGATCTTGAATTTATAACCTGAATTGAAAGTTAAAATTCGAGAAAGTATTCGAGTTAATAATCAGATTACGGATGTTTGTGCATTCATTAAAGAAAAATTTGTGCGTACAAAAATCTATGAAGAACGTATTACTCCCCCATTTCTTTAATCTCGTTCAGAAAAATTGTACAAAACCATTAATCCACAATCTATTAATACATCTATTAATTGTACGATGAATAAGTTTAAATAATTTTCGAAATTACGTTTTGTAAAATGATGGAAAATATTCAAGTTTAACGTTTAAAATTTTAGGAGAATTCAGCCACATGTTGAAAATTTATCAGCCACGAGTGATATTCGTATCTCGACGCACCGAAAAGCTTTTGGTAAAAGTCGCGTCTACTTTAAGCTGGGATATAAAATTAATAGAATTGGACGACGAAGCTCTCGATGGAAATGTGGTAACGTTGAACGTGTTTTTGGAAAAATATGGAAATATCGTTGACCCTCGTATGTTCACACCGGTACAAGTGGACGACAACGGCAAGAGAATGGCAGTCATCCTTTGTTCTAGCGGCACAACGGGTTTTCCAAAAGGAGTGATGCTCTCTCATCGAAATTTACTAACCTTCATTCAGAGTATAAGGTAAATTGCATTGCTCTCGTTTTTGAATATCCCTAAAAAATATTACAATACATGTATAACCATACATCACACATATTCTATTCGTTGCAAAAGTAAAAGTAAATATACTTTTCTTCTTTAAACCTACCTTCTAACGATTATTATATTTTTAATTTATTCGTTTTTTCTCACCTCATTTATAATTCCTATTAAAGCAAGCCGAGTTTCTTGAACATTCAACAAGGAGATCGAATGATAATTTTCTTACCACTGTTTCACGGCTACGCTTTCGGAATGATGTGCAACTGCATATGCTTCGATTCGATAGTGTGTTTAATGCGAGATTACAATACGGACGCGTTACTGAGCTCCATTCAAAAGTACAAGATCACGCATTTACCACTCGTCCCACCTATTCTGGTGGCTATCCTGAAACATCCAATGTTGTCAAATTACGATTTCAGTAGCGTGAAAGAAATATTATGCGGCGCGTTGCCACTTCCACTTGACGTAAGTTTCAAACATCGCGATATATCTCGATATAATATATCGATTAATCAAATCGGTCTTCGAATTTCGAATCGAATTTCTCGAAATTCATCAACGTTCGTTTTCAGATTGCGAACGAACTGAAACGTCGCACAAAAGTGAAAAACATACGAAACGGTTACGGAATGACGGAATTGGCGGTGGTATCGAATTTGAGCGAGAAATCGTGCAAAGATGCCTCGATCGGCCCCCCGTTGCCCGGTTTCAAATGCAAGGTGGTGAGCACGGAAACGGGGAAGACGGTTGGCGCGGGGAAAGTGGGGGAAATTTGCTTCGCTGGCGATCAGATAATGTTGGGATACTACAAGAATCCGAAAAGCACCGCGGAAACGATCGACGAGTGGAATTGGCTTCACACGGGCGATCTTGGATATTTCACCGAGGATGGAGGATTGTACGTCACCGGGCGAATAAAGGAAATCATCAGGTACAAAGGTTTCCAAGTGGCGCCAAGCGAGATCGAGGCATTGTTGCTAACGCTTTCAAGTATCAAGGACGTGGCTGTGGTGGGTAAACCCGACGAGGTTAGCGGAGAGTTGCCGATGGCCGTGGTAGTGAGGCAACCAGGCCAGAACGTGACCGCTGAAGAAATTGTGGATTTCGTGAAAAGTGAGTCTTGCGTCTTGAATGGTTCGAGCAAAGTGCGAAATTAACGACAATTTTCCTTTTAGGAAATTTATCGCCGCAGAAATGGCTGAGAGGAGGTGTTAAATTCGTCGAAACTTTACCCAAGACTCCATCCGGCAAAGTTCTACGGAAACAATTGCTTAATATCGTGTTATCCAAATTGTGAACGAATTGTATATATCCTGTACGCATAATATACACATCGAATAGAAACTCCTTTTCTAGTAGAAAGAATTTGTTGAAAAAATTTTGAACGCGATATTGGAGCGCAGTTCCCAAGGGTTGATGCTTTTTCGAATAAGTATTCGTTCAGCGTTCGAATAAAATAAAGGAAGAATTCGTGAGCGTACAATATCGATTCAAATGAGAAACTTTCGATTCCTTCTCTTTGCTCGACGACAGAGAAGAAAATCTTGAAATTTTGTCCTCTGTGGGCAAAGGGAAGAGATTAGGGTGTAAAAAGAAGAATGGATATCGTCGATAAGTAGACCGATAATTGGCCGTTCTTTTAGCGGAATAGTCAGAACGATCGCGTTATCTTCGTTAACGAGAAAGTGCGATAGGAATTTCTAGCAGTTTTACTGGATCAACGGAATTAGCGGTATCCGGTATTGGAAAAATTTAAATTTCACACCACCTACTCTACCGTGAGACTGCTACACGACTATGCGATGTATCGTCTACACAGTGTGTCCCATAAGTCTTCGCTTATCGACCAAAAACGATATTGAAATTTCCAAACATTTGCTTCATCCATTAAAAAATTATCATTCTCAAGGATATCCTTCCGTGACGAGTCGAGGAAAATTTCTAAATGTAATACGAAAAATGATCCGTCCCTGTGAAACAAAAAACGTGAAATTAATTTGGTCGCGGAAATCATGGGAATAAGTATCTGATTGGATTTAAAGCAGTTCGGCAACTTGCCTGACAATCGTATCGAATCCAATGTCAGCCGATTTGCAATACACCTTGTAGGTGAAACAAGTCTATTGCTCCGCTACTACTGGATATATATGCAACTTGGTATACGTGTGGTGTACGTCTATGGCTGGCGTTCCTGTTAATTTCATTGTGACGATCACCCTGACAAATCTAATTGACGTGCATCAATTATTTGCCGGACGAAGGCCGCTTAACTCCCTTTCCACTTGCCAGCCAGCATGGTTTCCGGATAATTTCATTTTTCACGATACTTTCTACCGATAGAATTTTACTCCGTGCCGTTATGTCGGCCAGCCTTTCTAATTCCCAAGCGATGATCCATGTGAGGCTGTAAATAGAAAATACTCTATTACTATATTGTATTGTGCGTGACGAGTAAAATTTTTGAATTTTATTACAGTTGTGAAAAATATAGGAATTTTCATTTTTTTCCTCGACGAAAAATAAATTTGTTCGTACCTTCGAATTTCGAATTGTTGGAAGAAATTTTTAGCCAAATACATAGTTGGATGAATTTATTATGCAACAAACGATAAACATCTTTAATGTAAAGTTTCGTGACAGAATTAAGAAAATATTGACAAACTTTCCTCCATCTTCTCTCCGCTAACTCTTCTTTAGTTAGATTAAAAAGTAATTAATGAAATATTAGATTTAATATACGTTCAAAGAACCGTGATAAAAGTTCTCACACTATGAAACGTTTTTTTTCGCCTAGAGATCCAACATACCACCATTGTTAAAGAACTTTCAGGCAAAAAAGCAAGTAAAAGCAGATAAAAAAAAAGTTCGAATAAGATACACGTGTAAATTTTTCGAATTGAATTTTCGATTCCTGAAATTTGTCAAATTTAATAAATTGTACTATTGGATGCAAGAAAAGCCTCGGTGACAATCGTCAATTTTTATATCTTTAAAAGAGTAAGAATTCGTTGGCACACAAAACACGTTTTAACCTCATCAATTTTAATGATACAACAATGAAATTTACAGAGCATTTATAAAAAAACGTGGAATCTAATTAAAAGAAGTTTACTAAAAAAAAAAAAGTAAAACTTTCTTGAATCCAACGATACATATTCAAAGATAAACGGTGAAAAATTAAATATCTATATCGTTTGTCTCGTTTCATTATTGTACTTTACGATAGTCTCAAGATATTGTAAAAAGAAGAAATTGAATCATAAATATGAATCATGTGCGATATACGTGTCTACTATCCATCGATTCACGGAAGAAAGGTTGGAACTTATCGCCCGCGGGTGATCTCGCTGCATTGTAAAAAGAACAAAACGCTTCTGATTAAAGTTCTCATAGAATATTCGGATATTCTTGATCAAGGTTCGATTACACGTGAAATTGCTGTTTATTCAAAATACTTACGTAGAATTACAATCTATCTCGTTCAAAATTTTATTCTCGATTCAAAACTTCTCACTCGAGATGAGATTCTAACCTATTTTTAGCACACTTGATCCTGTCTTTAGATAACAAATCTATTCTTCTCCCCTTTTTTTTCAATTATAAAGATTTACTTTATTATAATCAAAATAATGACTTATCGTTTATTAATTTCGATCGTATCTCTTTGTTTATTCGCTATTTTTTTTCTATTTTATCTAGACCGAAGAACATAAACAATGCGCCTCCATCGCCACGAAGTAAGTAATCCTCGAAGCGCGACCATTTCAAATTTGTCGATCGCTTCGATGGTAAGAAGATGGAAGAAAACGTATAATTGGTTGAAGTTTGGTATATAGAATAGATAATCGAAAGGTGGAAAGATCGATTGGTCGGTAGGTGAGATGGCGTTGCGATAGAAGCGGAAGAACAGAAAACGGGCAGATGCGATGCAGTTGGCCGCAATGGCGATATAGAATGGTGAGGCAGCGGCATAACGCGCATAATAACGCGCGCTCGAGGCCTTCGTAAAATGAGATACGACGGTAGGCAACGAAGCGTAGGAAGGAGGCAGCAGGGAATCGGGAGAAAGAGAGACAGACAGGAACGGATAGAGGGCGGGGAGGGTGCCTATCACTCGGAGAGATCCAATACAATGCGAACTATTGTACCCACGTTCGCCATCCACTCCAATTCCTAGGCTGGAGATATGCAGCTAGCTCGATCCTGCACTTGCCGCGCGCCCTCTCTACATGTGTTGGAACGTTACACACATACCCGACCCTCTCTAAGTCTATGTCGCCGCTTCCGTAAGGATACGAACGAGTTCAATATGGAACGAATGAACAGATTACATTGACATTGTACCTCTGGCAAATGACGTGTTTCGTTCAAATTCAAGTTCTTCCATTCTTCACCAGAAATTGTTCGTTTCAAAAATCTAGGTATGAAACTTTTTTATTTATTTTATCGTAGATTCGAAACTTTTGCATTCCAAAGATGATTTTCTCGCAAATATTGGAAATGCATCGAGACCACCATTTTACTCGAAGAGTAACTTTCGCTCTCGAACGATTTTCGAGAATTTTATCGCGGGGATCGAACGAATCGAGGATTCGATTTATGATGATCGAATTATGCGATGGGAAGCTAGAAAGAGAAATAGATGACGCGAAGCATAACCATTGGCGAGAGAGAATCGGAGAGAAAAGGATGGATAGAGAAACAAGGTAGGAAGGGAACAGGCGTTTACGTGCGCCAGACATCCGATGATGCATAGTTGCTGTTGACATGCTGGAACGTCAGGCTCACATGACCTCTCGAGCACACCCATTATCCGCAAAGCGACCCCCAATTTGGGACAATAACCGCTTCGTAGAGTCGTGTAATAATTATTGGCCGGTTTTCAGCCTCATCCTTCTATCCTCTTCAGTTATCATCGCCAGTGTTTCGTCGCGTTTAACGTCGCGAATATTCGTTCGAAAGAATACTCCAATACTTTGTTGCGTTATCATAGCGCTGGTGCGTGGATATTTCCTATCCTTTCGAATAATCCTTTTGTAATATTCATTTTGAATAAATTTAACGACGAAGGATTAAGATTTGTATCAAAAGTTATTCGTTTTTAAATATGGATAAAAGATGGATTCGGACAATGGAACGGAAGAAAAAAAGATCAATTACGCAGAGATTATGAAAGATTTTTATTTTAAACTTATAATTAAGCTTTCATGTAAAACGTGAACGGGAAAGCGATCCCTTTTGATCAAACGAGATCATTATTCGGAAATGTTTCGTTATTAGTCACCGATGTTATACGTATATTCGAGAACGATTTAAAGCAAACAATATCATTATCTGACTGTTGGCCGGTATGCAACAGACATTTTTTTATTCTTCAAAATATTTTTCGCTGTTTCACAATTTGATAAACAAATGCACGTTCATTGTGTTCACTGTTTTCAAGAACAAACCTATTAATATTATCGAAAATCATGAAGCGAGGGAATGAAATGGAAACGTCTTTTTATTGTTAAATAAAATTATTTAATTAAAATCGAAATTCGTACGATTTAATTGAAAAGATAACGCAGATTAGAGACAAAAGATAACGAGAACAATTAACAATAAAACACGTAGCTTGTATAACCCAGTGAAATATAATGTGCATAAACTGTCTGAAAATTACGCGAAACAACAGGATGACAGGTAACACGAACGGTGAAGTAGCAGTATTGTCCCCATTTATTCGAAATTTATTAAACGATGATGCATCGTTTAATAAGCGGCATACAACACAAAACTACATTATTATTACTTTAACTGTTCCTTTCAACGATATATATATATTTTTTAACTTTCTTTTAAAATAATCCAAATTCAAATCTATCCTAAATTATCTTACTAAATAAAAATACTTTTTCTTTATTACAGAGAGAATTGAGAACGAGATGAGAACATCGAGATAAAGAATCGAACGGACCTTAACGTCTCTCTCGTAAGATAAATCCATGGTATGCGCAATTCTGGAATTGAAGTAGCCTTAAAATTATATAGCGCAAAGACACGGGTATACGATACGATTCCCTTCATCGATAACACGATCGAATCGATAATCAGGAAACGAATTAACATCAATTAGAACGAACTTTACAAGTTTAACCGAATCGATAGGAGCCACTCCTTGAGCTGAAGTACATCATTCTCTGGCGAACGTACAAATCGCGCGATACGACCGTTTTCCAATCAGTAAGCTCATTCATTGACGGTCTAATTAAACCTGTTCCCCGATCCACCGAAATTCTCTGCATTCCAGGTGTAATCGGTTTAATCATTTACGCGGCGCTGTACTACACTCTACTTAATTCTATGCGACTACTTCAAGTCCAACCTTGGCACGGCTGCTGTCTACGGCCCCTAATTCAACGTATAAATCTCTCTCACCTGTTATTTATTATTTTCATGAATATGCATTTCTTTCACCGCCTGCTAATGGACCCCTGAGGCCACGGCGTGTTAGAAGTGTTGCGCGCAACAGCGTGCAGTTAAACGGATTTGATTAATCGAAAAACTTGATCGAATCCCTCTTTCTTTATCCCGCCGATTTATTATATTTTCCTTTCATATTAATATTATTTATGTTGTAGGATGCAGAATTTGTTTATTGTTGAAATGGAGGAACATCAGAAAACATTGAGAAAAACGTTTGCAGGGGAAGAAGATACTCTGTGTATCTTCGTATTAATAAATAAAATTATGGATATTTGGATGGCAGTAGGACGGTGTTGAGCGGGTTCAAGCGTTGGAGCTAGTGCGGAGGGGCATCTATCATTTCACGACCCATTAAAAATTTAACGCGAGGTGGAGAAATGGCGGGTTATGGAACGCTTGATTTTAATAAAAATCCCGGACATCGGGTAAAAATGCCATCGATCTTTCGTGGATTGGTAGAGATACACCACGTGAAAAGCGAAATTACATAATATCGACCGATGTTTGGTAAATTTGACGTTCCAATGCTTGATAATTATCAAACGGATAATTTATGAATGAAGGAATAAAAATGGATGAATGATAATTAAATGAATGGATAGAATAGATTATTTATATTTCTTGTATTATTGCGTTAATATTATTCCAATTACACGGAATTTCTTGTACACTCGAAAAAATTCAAACAAGATATAGATAGAGGATTGTGCGTGCACTTGAGAATCGAATCGTTGACAAATAAGCTTTCGAAGAATCTGTTTGAAAGAGATAACGCGTATCAATTGATATAGCAATATCAAATTCCGATTGGCATGAATTATATACGGTTTATTATTACGGTACAGTTCGTACAATTGTTGCATACAGTTTGTCATGAGTAATTTTTGGACTCGTTTTAAAAATTTTTTCTCAACCGATCATATCCTTGACGAGGAGACGATCGCCACTTACGTAGAGTTAACATATTTGAAGAAGAATGAAATACAGCAGTAAGTATTTATTTACGTATGGTATATTTCGAAAGTGAAGACTTTTAAATTTTTAAAGGAAAAGTGTGATGATTTTTTTCTTTGTTCGACCGATTCCTCAGCGTAATCAATCTGCTCGACAATGTAAATCCTGGGAAACTTCGTCAGAATCCTCATCATCGGTTCACCATTGAGGAAATCGAGACAATATTGCCGCAACTTCAAGTAAGTTAATCTAATTCATATCGACAGTATTTTTAAATATATTTTTTCATTGGTTATAATATATACAATATTATTATATTATTATATTATATTACATTAGAATATATCTTTGAACCAATGAAAACCAATGAAAAAATCTATTATATTATTAATTATATATAATTATTATAATATAATAATTCTAACATTCTTAATACATTGAAAAATCTAACACGTCTAAACTATCATCGATGGCGATTATTTGTAAACATTTTCTTTATCTTTATACACTTTCTGATAAGGTATCGAATCAATGTATATCAAAAATTCTTAACAATATATTTCACGCAGATAAGAGGGTTTCTTATTAATAAGAAAAATAAAGCAAAAAAAAAAAAAGAAAAAAAATAAACAAAAATTCGTAATCTTCGTTTCATCGAATAATTATTTATCGTATCGTTTGAATTCGTTTCAGTGCAGTCCATTTCGTGACTCCATATACCGAGTATTCTCTTCGAAGAAAGACAAACGATTAAGCTTGGAAGATGTTCTGGACTTGTGCTCGGCCTTCTCTGAATATTGCCCTGACAATGTTCGCGCCACTTGGGCGTTTTACGTGTTTGGTAACGTTATTCGTTTCAATTTTTTTTTTTTTTGACGAATTAATCGAAGAAGTTGAAAGATCAATGCAAAAATTTGATACACCGAGTGCATTTGTTCGAAAGTGCATTTATCAATTTCGTTGTGAATAATTTCTTTTTTTTTTTTTTCATCTACTATTGGAATTATATCCTCCAGTTGCGTGAGACATCTTGTGTTCGCGTTTCGAAGGAACAATAAACGCGAGGATCACGTGATCAATTTTTACGATATACGAAATAATACGAAATAATTCCACGCTTCTTAAATTTTCGTCCATCTGTTTCTCGATTCAGAAGTCAAAGATACGATAAAACGTTCAATTTATTTATCACAGTGATAAAAATTTCTCTCTATTCTTCGTTTCCGTGTTATAATTTCATATATAAAAATATTAGTAGTAATATCGTTGAATAAAAAAAATTACACGAACGAAATTACAGAAATAATTCGACGAGCCGTTTTAATCAACGGGCGAACCGTTTAAACCATTTGAGAGAATCTCTTATCGATTTAAGTTTAATTTCACGAATATATACGAATATACGCCGCACGAATGATCGTGAAAGCGGAGAAACAATAGGAAGGGAGGGAGAGAGTGAAGGATGGTTACATGCGCGGCAGAGAAGGAAGCGTATTCGATTTAGAGTTAGAAAAGCATAGAAAAAAAATGGAAAAAACATTGACGAAATTGATTCTTTTTGCACAATATGGATGACAGATAACGTAATTATAATAATAAGATAAAGATGAGATGAATATTCTGATGATAAAACTATCGTATCGTCAAAGTGAAAAATATATTCTCGGTGCACTTTCGATTTTTCATCAAAAGAACGAAATAGATTATTCCATTTCTGTCCGATTCTAATTTATTCTTATTTTATTCACACTCATGGAACGAACGTGATTTTCAATTTTAGAAGGTTCGAGGTTTTGATAATACGCATGATACAGCGTGTGGATAACCTCTGCATCGACACTGTTAACAATCTTCATTTTCCAGATTTGAACGGCGATGGTGAAATCTCGTCGAATGATTTAATCGAAACTGTGCAGAGGCTGATGTGGCCCCAGAACGAGTACGGGGGCATTGATACGGCCGAGGCGGAACACGTCGCGCGAATAGTAAGTTTTCATACAGCATGATGTAAATCTCGATAACTCGTTAACTGTGTACATAACCGTGTGAGATAAACCGTGTGTGTAATACAGGAAATGTTTCTGATCGTGAAACGATTAAGCCACGATAACGTTGTACGCATGTATGTATGTCGTTTGGTGATGGATACTCCCTTTACTCCAGCTATCAAAATCTTGACACTGTGTTTGTTACACCACAGACAACCTTATATGTAACAAGTTGTAAAGTGTATACGTTTGTGAATTGTACAACATTAGGCAAGGTAGACATCTACTCGAACGAGATAAGATAAACAACATTTTTTTTCGAGAATTTTTCAGCATCGTATGTTCGAAGCGAATCTTTAAACGAGGAAACATTTGGATCGTCGTCGTTTTCATAGATGGACAATTTGGACGATCGTTCACGAGAATAGATGCAATTAATTATAAGCGAAGATTCCAGAAGGACTCGTTAGTTGTATTAGTTACGGTTCTCTCTCTCTCTCTCTCTCTCTCTCTCTCTCTCTCTCTCTCTCTCTCTCTCTCTCTCT